CTCCAATATCTGGATTTTCCATAGGTCTTTTTCTACTGTCTGTCTTGTAACTGAATTTTTGGCAGTCTTGTCTTTTTTTGCGTGCCTATTTTTCATTATCTGGATCTTCCATAGGTCTGTTTCTATTGTCTGTCTTGTAACTGAATTTTTGGTAGTCTTGTCTTTTTTTTTGCGTGCTTATTTTTCATTACATGCTAGACATTGTGTATGAAAAATTATAGCAATAATTTGAGGTACTGGACAATATTATCATCACCCAGAGAGGACTTATTCCTATTTATAGGAAAGGTTAAGGTAGGGGCATGGCACCAGAATAAATCTAAAATCAAGTTGCTTCAAACCAAATTTCAGTCTTTGAGAGTTAGTCGATTTTGGCTCATCCTTACTCCTAGGATATAGCCCTTTAGGAATCCCAATTGTAAGTCTGGGATGTTTTACCAGCTACTCAGGAGGCTGCAGTAGGAGAATCACTTGAACCTGAGAGGCAGAGGTTGCAGTGAGCTGAGATCATGCCATTGCATTCCAGCCTGGGTGACAGAGCAAGACACGGTCTCAAAAAAAAAAAAAAAAAGAAAGAAAGAAAGTCTGGGATGTTTACTAGAACTCCTCATTGATGAGCTCTGAACCACAGTTATTGTTTACTCTGCCCAGAGAGACTTCCAAAAGTTCTGCTCAACTTCTCATTTTCTCAAGTTTGACTTTGAAACTAGGAACACCTCAGTGGTGCCAGATGTTTGTCTCACCTCTATGGAATTCTCCCTTCTCCAGAATCCTGACCCCTAAGTTCTTTTCTATCTTGGTAGTTCTCCAATGCTTCCAAACAGATATTTTAAAAATATTTTGAACAGCTTTCCTAACTGTTCTTGATGGGAGGCTTGATCTGGTTTGCAATGTCTTTGGGTGATTTCTATTTATTCTGCCCAGCTCAGTGAACTTGAAAAAGGAAGCCACTAACAGTACCCGGGGTATTTCTCAAACTTCTCAAATGTAAAATTCTGCCAGCAATAACTTTGAGAACCCATTGGAACAAAGCAAGGCATTGTGACACATAATTCAGCACCGCTCCTGGCAGCGATGCTGAGATGGACCATTCTAAAGCCTTTTCTTTGCCTTGTCTTTATCTCTCCCAAACTATCAAGCAAAAAACATCTACACGTACAAACCTCTTTTACGCTCTCCCAGTAGCCTGTTCCTCTACTTCTAATTATTCCCAATGTTAGGAATTCAAATTCATGTGTTTCTAACCCTAAATTCTAGAGATTGCAAAAAAGGCTCACAGAAGTAAAAATACATTTACAAGAGTTCATATAGTAGGACTCCTTCGTTAGAAACGAATTGCTATTCTTGCATCTCACTAAAATAATAGTGCTTTCTCCCATATTTGTATCTCTAAAATGCTGCTCCTTGTTTTGAGAACATTCTCTTTCTTTATTTCTCATCATATGCCCCACTTCAGATTCTCTTGGCCTCACCTGTCTCCAGGACATTTGAATCCAGCTCCAGTCACTGCTGTTGGAAAAATAAATCTCGGGATCCCACATCACTAAGCCAAAGGGGAAAATCAAGCTAAGAACTCCTGAGGGCAAACCTGCCTCCCATTCTATTCCTAAAAAAGATAACCACTAAAAAAAGCTATACACCTCCCTCACAATTTGCCCAAAAGGAAATTCCTTGGGGACAAAGGACAGACAGAACTTAGTCATCCCTCTGCTCACTGAGATAAATGTATATCTGATTGCTTCCTTTGGAAAGGCTAATCAGAAAACTCAAAAACATTGTCTCTTACCTACCTATGACCTGGAAGCCTGCTTCAAGTTGTCCCGCCTTTCTGGACCAAACCAAAGTACATCTTACATATGTTGATTGATGTCTCATGTCTCACTAGAATGCATTATAAAATTTAATATAGAATGTAACATAAAACCAAGCTGTACCCCACCCACCTTGGGCACATGTTGTCAGGACCTCCTGAGGCTATGTCGGACACACATCCTTAATTTGGCAAAATAAACTTCCTAAATTGACTGAGACCTGTCTCCGATTTTTAGAGTTCACAGAACTAAGTCTGCATGGATTGCATTCACCTTCACGCAGGCACACGATGACAAGACCTTATTCCATACCAATACCACATGCTTCTTTCCACCCTTCTGTTGATGCTGAGTCATCAAACACCAGGGGACACATATGTATGAGACAGAAGGGCAGGAGACTTAACCCTCATAACAGGAAAAACAAAAGCCAGTAGAGAAATTCCTCTCTTCTTTTCTCAAAGCAGTTTGTTGAGGGATTGAAGATATCTTTATTCCCTCAAGCATAGTGTGCTGAGACACACTTTATACAACTTCTTGGAGGAGAGCCCCATAGATTGAGCTATCCCAGTTGTATTTAGTGGCAGCTACTTTGCAAACACATCCTCATATTGGCTTTGTTTGTTTCCCTGTATATAAATCCTAACATTGCCTATGTAAAATAAAATGACAATTACTAATTTGTGGAGTTACAAAGAGAAGAAAGAACCAAAAAATTAGACAACAGTACCATATAAGTCAGAAAAGGTAAGAAAAGAATTAAAATATTCTAAATGTTTTATGCTATCTAGAAGAGAACGGTAAACATATTTAAAATTTATGCCTTGTTAAATTAAAATACATGACACATTTCTGAAGTAACCTCTAAAAAAAAAGTATAATTCCATATCTTTAGTGAAAACCTGGAAAAGGGAGAAAGGTGCAAAAAGAACTCAGTTAATCAAAAAAAAAAAAAAAAAAAAAAAAAAAAGCCCAGAGACCTAGAAAATGTAGAACAAATATAAATATAAAAGGAAGAATCAAAGTCTAAATATATAAAGAATCATAATAGGCCGGGGGTGGTGGCTCAAGCCTGTAATCCCAGCACTTTGGGAGGCTGAGGTGGGCGGATCACCTGAGGTCAGGAGTTCAAGACCAGCCTGATCAACATGAAGAAATCCCATCTCTACCAAAAATACAAAAATTAGCCGGGTGTGGTTCCGCATGCCTGTAATCCCAGTTACTTGGGAGGCTGAGGCAGGAGAATCACTTGAACCTGGGAAGCAGAGGTTGTGGTGAACTGAGATTACACCATTGCACTCCAGCTTGGGTAACAAGGGCGAAACTCCGTCTCAAAAAAAAAGAAAAAGAAATCACAATAAATATACATGGAACAAAATTAACAGTAACAAGACAGATGATCAGTTAGGACTTTTTTTTGTTTTGAGATGGAGTCTTGCTCTGTCGCTCAGGCTGGAGTGCAGTGAGGCGATCTCCGCTCATTACAAGCTCCGCCTCCCGGGTTCACGCCATTCTTCTGCCTCAGCCTCCCCAGCAGCTGGGACTACAGGCACACACCGCCACGCTTGGCTAATTTTTTGTATTTTTAGTAGAGACGGGGTTTCACCGTGTTAGCCAGGATGGTCTCGATCTCCTGACCTCGTGATCCGCCCGCCTTGGCCTCCCAAAGTGCTGGGATTATAGGCTTGATCAGTTAGGACTTTTTAATACAGCTGTATGCATTAACACATCTAAAGCAAAGGAACTTAGAAAGGTTGAAAGTAAAAGGACTGCAAATATTACAAGTAAACACTCACTAAAAGAAAGCTGATTTGTCTATGATAATATCAGACAAAACAGACTTTAAGACAAACAGCAATGTAGGGATAGAAAGGGATAACTGTGTCATGATATAAAATTTAATTCACCAAAATGATAACACAATTCTAAACACATAAGCACCTAATCAAATGTGTTCCAAGTACAGGGAGCATAAATTAATAAAAACTGGAGAGGCTGACAAATCTACCATCATTGTGGGAGATTTTTCAACATGCCTTTATCTGTGACTAGTAATTCAAGCAGAAAGCAAAAGCAAAGATACAGGATATTTGAACAACAAAACGAACAATCTCGTAATAATGGACATATATCAATTTTGCACTAACAATGAGAGCATACCAATTCTTATCAACCTTGTATTTCTCAGACTAGGTTATAAATTAACCAATTAGGCAAATATCAGCACATTTTAAATAAAAGTATAATAAAAATTATTATTATTATTATTTTGAGACTGAGTTTCGCGCTTGTTGCCCAGGCTGGAGTCCAATGGCGCCATTTCAGCTCACTGCAAACTCCACCACTTGGGTTCAAGCGATTCTCCTGCCTCAGCCTCCTGAGTAGCTGGGATTACAGGCGGGCACCACCATGCCCGGTGAATTTTTGTATTTTTGGTAGAGATGGGGTTTCACCATGTTGGTCTGGCTGGTCTCAAACTCTTGACCTCAGGTGATCTTCTCACCTCAACCTCCCAAAGTGCTGGGATTACAGGCATGAGCCACCATGCCCGGCCTAAAAGTATAATAAAAATTAAGATAACAATGCAAATATGTCAGAAGAGACAGGGTCTCTGTTACCCAGGCTGCAGCATCAAACTCCTGGGCTCAAGTGATCCTCCCACCTCAGCCTCCTCAGTAGCTGGGACTACCATGCCTGGCTAATTTTTTATTTTTATTATTTTAGTAGAGATGGGGTCTCACTATTTTGCCCAGGCTGGTCTCAAACTTCTGGGCTTAAATGTTCCTCCAGCCTCACCTTCCAAAAGTGTTGGGATTACAAGGTGTGAGCCACCATGCCTAGCAAGAACATACTTTTAAAATAATGAGTCAAAGAAGAAACTACAATAAAAATTTAAATATTTTTGAACTGAATAATAATGAAAATGTTATATATAAAAACTTGTGGGCTACAGAAAGCAGTGCTTTGAAGGAAATTTATTGCCTTAAATGTTTTTAAAGAGGAGAAAAACATGGCTGAAAATTAATGAACAAAACACACAACTTAAGAAATAAACAACAGAATAAACTCGAAGAAGATGGAAGGAAGGGGATAATTATAAGAGCAGAACTAGAGATAGAAATGAAATAGAAAACAGGGAGAATCAACAAGGACCAAAGTTGGTTCTTTGAAAAATACCAACAAAATAAATAAACCTCTGCAATGATTTATTTAAGAAAAAAATGATAAGAAGTCATAGGCAAATAATTTATCAGTCAGTTTTCACTATAATATGCTTTGGTAACTACAAAATCCCAAGTCTCTGTGTTTATTTCTTATTTGCTATATATGTTGACTCTGCTGGGCTCTCCTCTACATGTATTCTTCATTCTGGGGTCCCCAATCAAGCACATGCCATTCTCATGGAAGAGAGAAAAGAGCAAGAAAGCTGATAGAAACAGGTATGATACCTTTTAAAGTTTCTGTTCATATATGATGATCAAGCCAATTCACAGCTGGTTGGGTATTAATTCTCCTGTCACAAGAGTCACCTCAAGTCACATAGCATTAGGTAGACATGCATAGTCCTCTTACAAAAAAAGAAGCAAATATTTGGAGAGCAATAACACAGTCTACCACAAGTAATATTATAAGTGAAAAGAGTTATAAATACAGCAGAGATTAAGAATACAATCAATAACTATGCCAATAAGCTTAAACCCTTAGATGACATGGAAAAAATTCTAGAACCTATTATTTTATTAAACTGACTCAAAGAGAAAGAAAATACTTGAATAGTTTCATAACTATTAAATAAATCAAAGTCGTATTTTACAATCTTCACACAAGGAAAATACCTAGCCCAGATGGTTTTGCTGTTCTGTTCTGTTTTGTTTTGCTTGGTTTTTGTTTTTTGGAGATGGAGTCTTGTTATGTTGCTCAGGCTAGTCTTGAATTCCTTGCTTCAAGTGATCCTTCTGCTTGAGCCTGTCAAGTAGTTGAGATTATAGGTGTGAGCCACTAAACCCAGTTCCAGACAGTTTTATTGGTGAATTCTACTGATGCTTGAAAGGAGAATCACTCCAATCTTATTAAAATTCTTCCAGAGGATACACAAAGAGGGAATACTCCTTATATCACTTTATGAGCCTTGAAACCCAAACAGATCAAGACAGAATGAGAAAAGAAAATCACAAGTCCATGTTTTTCATAAACACAAATACAAAAATCCTACATAGAATATAACATAGACACAGAATACAGAGTCGACAATAGCATATAAAATTGAGACTTTGTGGTCCAGTTATTTATCCTAGGAATGCAAGGATAAGTAGTTTAATATAAACTCTATAAATATCATCTATCATATTAACATATTAAAGGGAGAAATTGTGTGATGATTTCAATAGATGTAGAAATAAATTAAATTCAAATTCATTCAAGATTTTTAAATTTTATTCAACTAGGAATAAAAGGTACCTTCCTTACCCTGATAAAGGAGATTTACAAAATGCCTACAAAAATATCATTCTGTTTTATCATAAAATACACAAAAATAATTCTAAGTTCCCTTTTTGAATATCGGGAGCATCAAGAATGCCTACTATAACCATTTCCAACAACACTGAACTAGAACAATGCATTGCCTTCTCCCCCAAACCAGTGTAACTTTTTTTTTTTTTTTTGAGACAGGGTCTGGCTCTGTCATCCAGGCTGGAGTGCAGTGGTGTGATCTCAGCTCATTGTAAGCTATATCTCCCGGGTTCACACCATTCTCCTGCCTCAGCCTCCCAAGTAGCTGGGACTACAGGCACCCACCACCATGCCCAGCTAATTTTCTGTATTTTTAGTAGAGATGGGGTTTCACCATGTTAGCCAGGATGGTGTCAATCTCCTGACCTCGTGATCTGACTGCCTTAGCCTCCCAAAGTGCTGGGATTACAGGCATGAGCCACCGCATCTGGCCAAACCAGTGTAACACTTTAAGATAGATAAAAAGCAATAAGGGTTGGGTGTAGGAAAGGGGAAAACTGGCATTATTTTCAGATAATGATTGTTTACATACAAAATCCAAAAGAATCAATAAATAAATTACTACAAACAAGAGTTTAGCATTGTGGCTGGATACAATATCAACGTACAAAAATCAAATTTATTTCTATACCATCATCAAAAAATTAGAAAGCATATTTTTAAAGGACATCACTTATAATAGCAACAAAAACTACAAAGTATCTAGGAATAAACTCCCCAAAAGATGTGCAAGATCTGAACAAAGAGAATGAACCCAAATTGAAGCATTAATGAAGACCTGATAAAAAGAAAGTTATCCCTTGCTTATGGAATGGAAGACTCAGAATCATAAAATGTCAATTCTCTCAAAATTTATATATTACTTATTATTCAATGCAATGCCAACAGGTTTTTGTTGTTGTTACTGCTGCGTGTTGCGTGTGTGTGTGTGCAACTTGTTTGTGTGTGCAACTTGAGATGCTTGCCTTAAAATATGGTAAAACTAAAGACCAAGCATAGCCAAAAAAAAAGATGGATGAAGAATAAAAGGGAGATTTTGCACTACTAAATATCAAGACTTTTTATAAAGCTATGGTAATTAAATATTGTGGTATTGACATCAAGATAGACAAATATTCCAGTGGAATAGAATAGATAGATCAGAAATAGACCCATAAGTAACTGGAATGTTGATATGTAACAAAGTTGGGAAAGGTGGGGCTAGTCAATAAACAAAGCTGGGGGAAAATAAAGGTCATTTGTATGTAAAAAGTAAAATGGGATCCCTACCTCACACTACGTACAAAAGTAAATTCCAGAGGGAATAAGGATTTATAGATTTTTAGGAGTAAGAGTAAGTGAACATATATTAGGTAGGGGGAAAATAAAAACAGGATAAATATTAATAAATTCAAAGTTAAGAATGTCTATCAAAATAGAAAGTGAAAAGACACCAATGGAAGGATAAATTTGCAACACATATAACTGACAAAGAATCAGTGCCCCAAGTTTATGAATAATGTAACAAACAATCCACTAAAACAACAGTAAAAGACTCAAACTGACTGTTATATAAAGAGCCAAAGATGGCCTCTGTATCTGGGTCCCCGGGTTGTTTATTTCTTCACAGAAAGCTGGTATCTATTATCTCAAAAGTCTTTCAGCACCTAATTCAAATGTTTATACATCCAGGCATTTTAGATATAACCCAACGAAGCAGATTTTTAGGCATTTAGAGCTGCTTGCCTGCTTTGTACACCTCATGAAACTGTGCCCAACATCTGTTAGTCATAGAAAAGATAAATCCATGGTTCATGAAGACTCCAATTTACTGCTGCCCTTGGGAGCTTTCTGAAACAGAGACTTCCCACAGGCCGCTGAACAACATCACCTGGACATGGTAAGGCCACTCCCTTCTGGAAGTTTCCTTCTCTCCTCCCTTTTTGGATGGTTTCTCTCCACCCCCAATTTCTGGATCTTCTCATGCTGCGAGGGACTTCCCTTAAATGCAAACCTGTCAAAGCTCACACAAATAAAGCTTGAGTGTGCTAATGCCACCTCTTGGTCATATATTTTTTTCTTGCTCAGTCCTAAAATCCCTCAAATGCCCTACACTGACATTTCACCGAAGAGAAACTACAGATGGACAACACACATCTAAAAGAGATGCTTAACCTCAATAAGGCCAGTTTGAGACCATGCATTAGCAAAAACCAAGAAATCTGAGGTGTTAGAGAAGATGTACATGCTGGTAGGAGTATAAACTGGTACAACCACTTTGGATAAAAATTTGGTACTATCATATAAAGTGGAATACTGGCATTCCAAAATCCTATCAATTTTATTCCTAGGTAAACACACCCAAGAGACATTTTTGCACGAGGCACCAGAAAGCAATGCTGATTTCCAACACTGTTGGAAACAGCAAGATACTGGAAATTGCACAAAGATTTGGCAGCTGGAGAATGGATAAATTATGGTACATAATGGATTTTTATGTAGCAGTGAAAATGAACAAAATGTAACTTCAGTCAACAAAGATGAATCTTAGTAACATGTTTGTAAAGAAAAATGTACCAGGCCCAGGACTCTAGATGAAAGTTTGGAAACATACACAAAACTAAAAAAGTAAAAATACATTGCTTAGTAATATATATAAATGCGAAAAATAATAGTTGTGTAAACACAAATTCAGGATGGGGGTTACTTCTGATGGAGAGGCAGTGGCAGAAGATGGGGACCACTTAAAAGTTGATGAAAGTTAATTGATAATATTTTAGTTCTTAGCATGTCAAGTTAAAGAAGGTGTTCATTATATTATTTTAAAAATGAATTAGTTTAATTTAATTTAAACGATCCATTCAAGGTCTACTGGTTATAACGTATTATTGGCTAATTCTGTGGTCTATTTTTAAAAAGAGGATTGTACCTACGTATCTTCTCAGGCCTTCCGGCCCAACCATGTTATAAATGACTAAGAAGGAGTTCAATCAAGGCCATGGGCAAAAATGCAGCATCCTAAACCCATGTACCTACTCCCCACCCTACCCAAAACAGCGGCATTAACACAACGTAAAAAACCAAGGAAGACTTAGCAACAAAAACCTTGATTTCCTAGAGCGCAAACAAAAGAGGGTAGAATCACGTGGTTCTTCCTCCCACGCCCGGCGCGCCAATGATGTCACCAATCTGCGACCACACCATTGATTCCCGACTGAAGGTAGAGAGGGCTACGTGGTGGGGGAGGGCGGGGGGAGGGTATCGGCCGCACTGGCAGCCTCCGGGTGTTCGGCCGTGTCCGGAGGAAGTACAAGACCCGGTAAGAGGCTCTGTCCTTCTCGGCCACACCTTCCTGGGCTGGAACGCCCGGCGCGTGCGGCCTCTCCAGTCTCTGGCGTTGATGTTAGAGGAAGCGCGGGGGCGCCCCGGCGGGGCACTGAGAGTGGCCTCAGGGCTGGGTGGGGACGCGGCTGGTAGGGGCATAGTGGCCGGTCTCGGCAACTTTCCAGAAGGCGGACGCCCAGGGCCGGTGTACTTTTGTGCGTGTGTGTGCGCCCGTGTGTTCGCCTGTGTGTGCGCGGGTGTGGGCGGCAGAGGCTGCGCACGGATGCTCCGGCGCTCGTGCCAGCCGGAGCCCAACAGCTGGGTACCAAAGGCCCTTGTTTCCCTCTCGCCGACTCCCCCGCCTCGGAGAGTGACTGGAGAGCGAGGCTCCTGGGACTCGCCCCGGTAGGCGCTTTGCTGCGCCTTCTCCCACAAACTGCATTAGGACCGGCCCTTTATCCCAGAGATAACATCGCCGCCCTGGCGTGCCTTCCACAGGGAAGGCGTAGGAGGCCACTGTGGAGAGCCCACTGCGGGGTCACGGCCGCCGCACTCAGCCTGTTTGGCGCAGGAGGCCTAGCTGCGTCACCTCCCCTTCCTTCTCTGTTTAGCTTGATTTGGGGGCCCCACTAGAGGGTAATCCGGCCCCAGGTGTTTCGTGTTGGTGTCAGAGTTTGGGAAACTTGCCTTCCAAAAAGGGATACCTGTCATTGGATTTTGAATGTTGTGTGGAGGAGCCCAAGCATGCAGTTAACGGAGGGAGCAGAGTCTAGGCTGCTACGGGAGGAGACTTGCAAACAGAGGCCTACATAGTGTCTTCTTGCTAGCGAGGGAAACAGGATTGCTAGAGCGGGTCATTGGGAGCAGAGAAGGCAAGGGCGTCAAACTGTCAGCAGTTGTGATGCCAACTTCTTTTTCTACCAGAGAAGCCTTGTTTCCCATCTTTTTAAAGATCTTGAAATATCTTGTTCGTTATTTACAAACAGTTAGTGCTTGCTATATGGGAAGCAGGGAAATAGAGTGGAAAGCAGACATGAACTTTGGAGTCAGGTCTGCCACTTAGCAGCTGTTTGACATTGAATGAGTTATTTAACCTCTCCATTCCTACTTGGGCTTATCTACAAAATGAGGATAATTATATCTACCTTGCCCTGGGTGTCAGAATTCGAAGTGTCTAGCTATTATTAGTAAGGGCCCAGTACCCAGGCGCTTGGACTTGCTCCCTTGCTGAAGGTTTCCTATTGGTACAGCTGCTTGAGAAGCAGGATAACTTTTTGCTATTTTAGATGTTTGCTATACTGCCAGATATGATACGTAGACTTGGGGGTGGTGGTGGTGGGGAAATCTCAAAATCTGTAATCTCTCTGCTGTAAAATCTCTCTGCATTAAGTTCTAGAACTGCAAAGAGGTGAAAATCTCACTTTAGGCTGGGAGCAGTGGCTCATGCCTGTAATCCCAGCACTTTGGGAGGCTGAGGTAGGTGAATCACGTGAGGTCAGGAGTTCAAGACCAGCCTAGCCAACATGGTGAAACCCCGTCTCTACTAAAAATACAAAAATTAGCCCATTATGGTGGTGCACATCTGTGATCCCAGTACTCGGGAGACTGAGGCAGGAGAATCGCTCGAACCCCGGAGGTAGAGGTTGCAGTGAGCTGAGATCCCGCTATTGCACTCCAGCCTGGGTAATGAGAGCAAAACTCTGTCACAAAATAAAAACAAAACTCACTGTATTAATTATAGCTTCTCATTTTATTTTATTTTATATTATTTCTCATTTTATCCCAAGTAGCTGGCATCACAGATGTGCACCACCATGCCTGGCTAATTTTTTTTTCTTTTTTTGAGAAGGAGTCTCACTCCATCCCGCAGGCTGGAGTGCAGTGGCGCGATCTCAGCTCACTGCAAACTCTACCTCCTGGGTTCAAGTGATTCTCCCTCCTCAGCCTCCCGAGTAGCTGGGATTACAGGAGCATGCCACCACGCCTGGCTAATTTTTGCATTTTTAGTAAGACAGGGTTTCACCATGTTGGCCAGGCTGGTCTCGAACTCCTGACCTCAGGTGATCCACCTGTCTCGGCCTCTGAAAGTGCTGGGATTACAGGTATGAGCCAATGTGCCTGGCCCATGCCCGGCTAATTTTTGTATTTTTAGTAGAGACGGTGTTTCACCATGTTGGCTGGGCTGGTCTCGAACTCCTGACCTCAAGTGATCTGCCCACCTCGGCCTCCCAGAGTGCTGGGATTACAGGCATGAGCCACTGCACCTGGCCTTTCGCTTCTCTTTATATAGCACTTGCTGTGTACCTGACACTGTGTCAAGCACTTTACATATACTAACTTATTTCATCCCTCCAGCAACCTAGTGCACTAAATATTATCCCCATTTTACAGATGGAGAAGTGAATCTTGGCTAAAGTCCTGACACTAGTTAACGACAGAGCTGGAACTGGAAGCCAGCTATGTGGTTTGAGTCTTGCTCTTTCTCAGTGACTAGTATCCCAGCAATGTAAACCTGGTGTGGTGGGGGAAAGGAGGCCCAGAGTTTAGTGGGCCAGCACTGGCTGCAAGAGTAACATCTCAAATTGTCCAATGATACATTACTTTTTATTTTACATTTTTTACTCAGTGTTGTCCAGATATGAACCAAGGTTTGGCCTTTTCACCCAGAGAAAAAGGAAAGGCTCATGGGCACACAGTGCTGGGATCATGGGTACAAAGTAGGTATTCGGAAAATGCTTGTGGAAAAAAGAAATCCTGAGGCATTGTTATTTCTGCCAGAAGGAGGCCCAGTGCTTATGACACAAAGGCTCCTTAAGCCAGCTAATTTTATACTGTAACACTGTAATATGAGCATTTTTCTGATTCTTGGATTTAAAGATTTGAAGCTGTGTTTCAGACCAAGATTGGTAGTATTATCTGTGACCAACTGATTAGAGTTCTCAGACATGTGAACAACAGAATCTGAGCTTTTGGGCTTCTGTAGTAATCTCTTGAGATAGAGCAATTTGTTTTGCTATAACATCTGTTAGACTTGGACCTTAATGGGTACAACTGCTTGAGTTTTCTGGAGAGCACTGGATGGTTGTTTCACATCAGGGATAAAGAGTTCAAAATATTGTATTTGTCTCAAAATTAAATATTTGGGAAAGACCTGTGATTGATGTGCATTCATTGTAGGAATAGTACACTAGTTTCAAACAGATAATATTCGTGGTATTTTTGATGAGCTATTCTGTGTCTTAAAGATATTTAAAGATGACTTATGGTTGCACAGTGAACTATTAGGAACATACAAAATTTATATAAGCCATCCATATAGACTGCGACTTACACACACACTTCTCAGTTTCTCCATCCAAGGAGGTCTAGTTGCTGCTTCTATACCCTCTGGTTACCTTGAAGCTACCTATTTCACCATATTTATCAGACTTAATAGGTGAGACCCTCTGACATCAGCCTCCCTTTCCTTCTGTACCACCCCTTGCCACATGCACACAGAATGAAGCTCTTCTCCAAAAGGACTGTATATTAATCTACTTGCAAGTGGCACAAACCCAGTGTAAATTAACTTAAGCAAAAGCAGTTTTTTTCCTCCCTTTGATTATTTAACTAGAAAGTCCAAAGGCAATCTTCAGGCATGGCTGGATCCTGGGTCTAAAATGATGTCATGAGGGCTTTCTTGGTCCTTCCTTTTTCTACTCCGTTTTGTTTATTGACCTCATCCTCTTTTGCTGCTTTCTTTTCTTTTCTTTTTTTTTTTTTTAGATGGAGTCTTGCTTGTCTTTCTCTGTCGCCCAGGCTGGAGTGCAGTGGCACGATCTCGGCTCACGGCAATCTCCACCTCCCGGGTTCAAGTGATTCTCCTGCCTCAGCCTCCTGGGTAGCTAGGATTACAGGCACCCATCACTACCCCCAGCTAATTTTTGTATTTTTAGTAGAAACAGGGTTTCACTATGTTGGCCAGGCTGGTCTTGAACTTCTGACCTCAGGTGATCTGCCCACCTCAGCCTCCCAAAGTGCTGGGATTACAGGCATGAGCCACCGCGCCCGGCCTTCTTGCTGCTTTCTCTATGCATACTGAAAAAGCTCCCAGTCAGCAGCCCCAAGCCTATGACCTGATGGCTGTCTTTTAGCATTGTAACCTAACCATTGCTGACAAATAGGGAGACCACAATTGGAGAGGTCTGCATCATAGACTCACTCCTGGGATGAGAAAGTAAACTGCCCCTCCATAACCTTATGGGATGGGAAGTTCAGAGGTCCTAGGCAGGCAGAAACAGCACATGACTACTGCAGGGGTGTGTGTATGCACACTTGTGGTTACATGTGTGCTCTTATCTCACTTCTTTGGGGTCCTTCTAGAACCTTCCAACTGGAATGAATCCAGTGGGTTGTGTTTGTCCATCAAACTTAGACTCCCACTGTGGTATCCATTATGTGCTCTCCATCCTTTCTGTACCTTTGCATCTGCTGTTTGGGTTGCTCTTCCCCATTGCTTCATCTAGCTGATCCTTATAGATTCAGGTCATGCTTCTCCCAGAAGCCTTCATTGACAGCTTCCTTAATGATCGAGGCATCATCCCTTCTCTCTGCTCCCATAAACAGCTGAGCACAACCCCCTTTTAGATTTTATTTCTGTTTGATAATTGTCTGTTTATTGGTCATTTCTCCACTAGACTGAGAGCCCGTTGAGGACAGAGTGCCCTTTGCTTTGTATTCCTTATCTCCTACCCTTAGCTAGCATTATTTGTCTTCATAGCACTCATAACTGACATTGTATATTTATTTCTTTATTGCCTATCTCTCCTCATTGACTGTCTCTCATTAGCTCCATGAGAACAATGTGGAAAGGAATTTTCTTTGTTATCAGAGCAAAACAAAACTACCTTGAGGCCTAGGACAGTGCCTCATACTGGCATATAGTATATGTTCAGTAAATGTTTATTAAATGAATGAATGGAAATCTTCCCACAGGAAGAAAACGCTGGCATTATGTTGATGAACATTCCAATCTGCATGATAGATACACTTCTCACTGTAAAGATCTGAAACTTGAGTACCGTGGCATCCCAGGAAGGCAGCACACCTCTACCCATATGTGTTTGAACCTGCAGAGGTCAGGCCCAGGGAGTCTCCAGCTGGAAATTCTACCCTGTGTGATGTTTCACTCCTCTCAAACCTTTCTGAACTTTGATGGGTTGTATATTAAGGCTTTCTCCATATTTTCAGGCCCTTTCCTTGGAGTA